CAAGCAGGAAAGGCCATTTTTTGCTATTGCACAAGGACACTTGTGTTTTTAGACCATTATTCAGTATTTTGATTTTCACTGCACACTGGCAGAGTCATGTATTAAATACACTCCTTGAAATCTTTCTTTCCCCCATAGGGTATGGTTTGTGTGACTCGAGACCACTCACTAAAATGAGGAGTTTAGGACTTATCAGTAAGCTCATATTCACTTACTAGACACTGCAGTATGAAAACGAAAAAGATGAAATTAATTACTACCTTGAGAATCCCCAACTGTATTAGAACTGAAAAGAAAATTCATATTCGCGTTCTACCAATTCCATAGTCACATTGTAACTCTTTGCATTTTACAGAAAATTACAAGAGCCATCCAGATACCATCCTTGATACGCTTGCGTAGAAAAAGCTTAAATAGCTGTTTATCAGAGAAAGCATAGAGCTGAGTGAGAAAAAGCGTACTCTGTTCTTGTTTGTGCTGTTATCAGTATTGATCCGAAAGGCTGGGCTGATACACTGATCCTTGTTTCCCGCTTTCTTTAAATTACTCCCACTGGGAAAACCTGCTTATTTCTCCATCGAGCTTGGAGGCACCGAGAATGTTGCTAAACAGATTCACACATTTCTTGTTAGCTAACTGGCTTGCTTGTCCGCGATTTTGATCTTTGCTGACATTCTTTGACTTATGGAATTACTAAAACCTGGCAAGAGATTCGGCAAAGATAGAATTTGGAACATTTTTTATCATCTCTTTTTCCCTCGATGACTTTTCTATGTACTAACCCTGTTCTTTGGGCTGAGTCCGAAACCTTACCAACAGCAGTGCACTTTGCACAGATGTGCTGAAGACATTTGAGCCCAAACTGTGTTATCACTTAAACCGCTGTGATGGGTACTGTACTTGCATCCATTACCAACTACAGGTATAAAATGCCCTACTGTAAGAGTCAGACCATGCAAATTTTTTCCCCCAAAATATTTAAATGTTTTTACAGGCCATAGCTCAGTATTGCAAGTAACTTGTTTAGAAATCTATGCCTCACTGAACATCACTTTTACGACTGATGCAAAAGCAAAGTATGATAGTTCACTTTCCCATCCTTCATTTGGTTGTGGAAAGGCTGCAGTAAAGGAGCTGAAAACACTTTTTCCTCTGACACTTTTATTAAAAAAGAAACAGATGTAATTCCAAATGCATAATGATTTGCTCAATAAGACGCAATTTTTCTTATCAGTGCTATCTCCTTAGATGGGTGGTCAAGAGCAAAATTAATCCTTTTTAAGCCCAAAATAATTGTCAGCATACTCTGCTGCAAAGGCCAAGATGACAAATGCTCAGTGTTTTTGTAAATTGGTTATACGCACACATACTCCCTGCACTGATAAGAAGACATTTTTGACATAACCTCCGTGGTGTATTTTTTTAGCTACTCAGCAAGCACCCTGATGTTTTCAGACCGCGGAGAACTCAGTTTGGACTAATTCAGTCACATACTCTAGCACTCATACAGTATGTATTCTCAGCTGCATGTAAGTTGCTTGAGAAAATATAAAGGGAAATAATAATAATTACAATTATAATAATGATGACGACGATAACTTTCAAAGCCCCATTCTCCCACCATACCAAGAGCCCTTAAAAAAGCGGCATTAACCTCACCTTGCATCTGGGAAGCAAGGTGAGATGCAGGGCTGAGGAGCCGGCACTGCTACAGCCCAACTCAAGAATTCCTGTTTGCAAACCCTTGTTTTTTTGCGGGGGGCAGCCTCTGGTTACTGCTGGTCCGCCCCCACAAACCTGAAGTTAAAGTCTAACTTCCCGGAGCATGCCCACTTCCCTGTGGGCATCTGTTGTTAACTTTGTCCAAGAAATGCCCGTGCAAAGGGAAGCGAAAGCCAACTCTCATCCCAGTTTCAACTTTGCAGACCTATTTCCCACGTTGTCCAAATGGCCAAAACACCACGCATACACCAAACGTGGGGATACTGAGGTTTCCGGACCTCTGTGATTATTTCTTTGGTACCTTCCTGACTGCACTACCTCTACCCTGTCACCGGGTACTCCCTCCTCACTGTACGGGCGGTGTGAGGAGATCCGGGGACACTTTTGCTTATCCAGGGTAGGGTGGCACCGGCTCCCCAGAGCATCACCTGTCCAGCGAGCAGTGCCGCAAGCTCACCACGTAAGAGAAGAAAAATATTCCGGTTTAAGCTCTCTGGGACAGAACTGGGAATAGCACCCCATTCTCACAATGATGCACCCTGTTCTGGTCATCCGATTTCACAGCCTCATGTAGAAAAGAAAGTGTATCTATGGTATCCTATGGCAGGATCAGCTCCAAAAGCACTTCCTTAATAAAACAGTAAGCTCTTGCAGGAATATTGTGCTGCTGCTTTTTAACAGTGTACACTACAGCACGAAAGAGAACAGAGCAACAAGCAGACGCAAAGCTAAAACCACACCTCCACCTCTTGATTTTTTGGAGCACAATTTTTTCCTTTAAAATTCAAATCTTTCAATCAGAATTTTCTTTCATCAGAATTTTCTTTTATCAGAATTTGTGACAGATAATCAGGAAATAATAGTTTTTAATGTACTGTAATAACTAAAGCATCTTAAGTGTGTTCTTATATTTCAGAATAACCGGCTATATTTTCTAAATACTTATTTTTTTCCTCTAGTGGCATGTTGTTAGGGTCTTTGGTTAAGGTTATTTTCTGAATTCTTTGAAAGTGACATAAATATAGAGACGTAATTAAACTCCACTTTATAAACAATAATTTTTTCAGCATATAAAATGTTGATGTCTTTTTTTCTTCCCAGAAGGAAAAGAAGATTTTAACCATTTAATAACTAGCAAAAGTTTTGATAAGAAAAGACTCCATGTGCTGCTGTTATTAAAATCTGATTTGAACAGCGTATTATTAAGATTACTATAAATTTCAGGGGACTAACAGAAATACCAACTGCAACAATCAAGACTCTTCATGAACACCTGCTTAGGGACTTAATTTTGCTTTAATGGGTTATTACCAAGGCTTCTGTAACAAACTCCCTCGTCTCCCCCAAAATCAATTCTGGATCAATACAGACACACATGCCCTGTGCAGAGCCTTCTGTTCTTAGGACAGGATTAAAAGATTCGTTAGTTTTACGATAGCTTGGTTAAAAGATGGAAATAAAAAAAAAAAAAAAAAACACATGTCCCACACAGTTTAGATCTCTTCTGCTTAACAAACTCAGCATTTGCAAAGGTTTGACAGAAGGGAGACAACTTTTTATTGATTATCATAGTAATAAGGCTCTAAAGAATCCCAAAGCACGTTGCTCAGTCTCCGTGAATGATCAATTAGAAGGCTGCTTGAGAGTCAGCTTCCACCAAAATTTACTGCTATTTCTCAGTGAAACTGAGGTAGTAGAAAACAAGGGCAGACAAGCAGTTTTTAAAACCAACCCTGTATTTTTTTCAACCAAGCAAATACAAAAACTTGAAACAGAGCAAATGTCAGGTGTCAGAGTACTGAAATAACTTACTTAAAGCTCTCATCAAGGCATATCAGTTATTATTTATAACCTTTAACACTACGAAAAATGTATTGCTTCACTGACTTTGCAATAGCAAGTCTTTATTTTCTCTAAGTCAATCCCGAGTACTATTTTTCCTTAACCAAAAATAAGACATGGGAAAAGTCTACAGAGAGTTACAAAATCATCAGTTAAAACTCAATAGCAAATAAATAGCCTTAAAAAGCATTTAAAATGTTGCACAATACAAAAACATGCATTATCCACAACTACATTTCCTCTATAATTTAATCATGTTCTTACAGCTTCCTAGAACAGGATTTTAAAAAATATTTCCTTTATTATGAAATGCAATGCTGTTCAAAGTATAAAATTAAGACATTTTTCTACCAAACATATAGATTTATTGCATCAAGTACTACTGAATATTGCCTGCACAAAGGAAAACATTTCAGTTTTCCATGTAGTTAATAAGATTAAACAGTCCCCTTTTTACTACAAAGCCACTTTAAAAGTAGTAAATGGTGTTTTCTCTACCTACCTAGTTACATCAGATTCATCTGGGTTTTGGATAACTGCATACAGAAAATCTGGTCTTAATAGAAAAATGACATTATGTTCATACAACCGACTGTTATTTTTATTCTTTAATAATGTGCTTTTGAAAGAAACACATAGAATGTATACTCTGGATGCGTCAGCTTGCTTGTCTGAGCTCAGAACAAATAACACGGAAAACATTCCCAACTGTTGGTATTTTGGGCTCTTTTTCAATCTACTTTGCTTACCTGAAAGCAGAAGAATAAATTCTAAAAACAGGCAATGATTTAACCCTGAGGGAGCAGATATTCCACTCCGATTATCTCTCAAGAACATATTGATTAGATCAACTTTTTGGATGCAGAATAGTCTTTCTTGCATAGATATATAATTGAATTTTCAGTCTTTTTTGCTTTGCATAATCAGAAACTAAATGGTTTTCACTTAAAAGACAGTAACTCTAGTGAACGTAATCATTTCCCCATACATATTTACTGTTCCGTCTTCAAAATATTTTGCCCGAGTTGCAGAGTAAACAAGAGTTCACATTGACTGATAACAATTTACTTGTATGTAACCAGAAATACAGCTTTAAGATGCAGAATATATAATGACGACGTTTCAGAAGAGAAACTTTCTTATCTAGCTCACTGGTGAATAGCAAACGAACTTAATAGCCACAAAAAGCAGAAAACAAGCAACATATTTGCAAACGTCTTTTATAGATTAAGAAAAAGTGCTTGGAAATCCTCATTGCTGACAGAAAACCCTACGATCACCTAGCAACCTATGTTACTGCTGCTTTCAATTTTGAACAGGCAGCCTTCACATTCAAAGATGTATCTGAGCCAACTGATGCAACTGTAAGTTTAAAGCAAAACAAAAACAAAAACAGAGATTATTTTTTTGCTGTTATTTAAATAAATTGCCCCTACCTTTCTTCTGAGAGTACGATGGCGACTGCACTTGAGAAAAAGTAGGTTTTTCTTCGGTGAAATATTCAGGTTGGTTGTACTGATTCAGGGCCATGTCCATGTCAGAGTACTCGCTTTTAAACACGTTTCCAGGGTAACTACAGGTATAAGGCTGATTCACCGCCCAGGCCTGTTCCATATATATGTTGTTACTGTGCAGGACCTGAGCATCACAACTGCTGTAACCCTGATTATCTTCGATATATGTGCAATAATCAGTGGACTGCATGTAGCAATTGCTACCAGCAGCTGGGTGCACTTCATATATTTCTTGCATACAGTAGTTCATTTTGTTACCCTATCTCGGCTTCTACTTTACGTACACACACACATGCATACAGACGCAGGCATGCATACACATGGAACGGGAGAGGAGCGATGAATATACACCAACAAAGTCGACTGCAAAACAGCCCGTTTTACTTTGGAGCAGCACCTGATGTGCTAAAATCCTATTTATATTGGGACGGCTTGTGAACTCCCCTGCCAGTCAAACATATTGGGAAGCAGATTTATGACAGTCAAAGGTCTTAATCTGTGACTGTAAGTTAATTCCAAGGGAAGATGGCAGGCAGGTAGCAATGACCACCAGACAAAGAAGCGCCGTCCCGACAACCCTCCTGTTCCCCCGTTTGTCTGGAATAATCATTTTATAAACCATTTCCAGCCTTTGCCAATATGATTAGAAAATGATTACTAAGGCGAGGACACAGTTATGTCACTGTAGTTGTCAACTTAAGTGTGAAGCATTATAAAGACTGCTTAAGAACTCCCAGAGGGGATACGCTGAAAATCCTAAAATCAATAATCCTGTTTTTCAGCATTAAACCATAGAAAATCCAATAGTGCTGTGTTGATGACCCAAACAGTAGTCTAGTTTTACAAAATTTAGCAACTTAATCTGTCATCAGCTTTATTGATTTTGTTTTACAGAATTACATGCATGAATCTCCCCAGCCTTCCACACACACACAATCCTCCCCGCTGCCCGGTAATGCATTTACGGGAAAGCAGCTTTTCTAAACTTCAGTGATTTGGGGAGGTAATTTCTATTGAGTTCAACAGGTGGGAAACTTCAAAATAATATAATCAGCAAAGAGAACAATGCTTAAACATTATCAATAAGCTAATTGCTTTGCAATTCTGCTTTGTTATCTTTTATGTTTCAGTAATGAAGTACTTTTAGAAGTGTATCTTTTTCAACATCACACTGAGTAGGGTAAGGAGGCTTTTTTTGCTTGTTTTGGCTCGCCTACGAGCTACGAACAAGTCAATGCCACTACAACAAAAACTATATGATCTTATAACTGCATAATGAACCCCAAACCTCAATACAGTTAATACAGCTTGTTTAATCCACCATTGTTTTTGATGGAAAATAAATTCTTTTATTTTAAACTTATAATAGCTGATATTTGTTTTTTCCTAGGCAAAATACATTTTTTCTTTACAGCACAGCTAAAATATCATAAAACTTATGAAGTCAGTAACAAGACAGTATCCCTCATTAATGTTTGTTCTTCTTATTAGGAAGCAGAATTATTACTGATTTGATAATGAGGTCTTAGTTTTCTTATTTCACTCATTTTAACCAATCTACAGGATTGTCAAAATTACCGGTAGGTTGGCCCTTTTTCATCTAGGATCTTAAATGTACATCTAACAACCCTGATGAACATACACCTAAATGGCCCTCAAAAGTTCAGTGAAATAGGGAAAAACTGGGCATGACATGTACATATTTCTCCCTGTCCGGTATTGTTTAACGTTTCAGTCTAAGAGCCCACGGAGCAGTGTTCTCCCTTCCAACATACAACCATAACTAACCTATCTAAATAAAAAGCACTGCCAATTAGTATCTAATGTGCAGGCTAACAGAATTTAGGATAAGTGCTTCTGAGGATCAGAGAAGTTAAAATTCATGCTTGGATTTTTACTTTTTTCCCCTCTAACTACAAAAGAAACATCTTAGATACACATTTCTTATTAACCTGCTCAGAAAATAACAAAACATTTGGTAAGTCAAAATGAACTCTACCAAGATCAATTCTACTGAAGTCAATGGAGTTGCTTCCAATATGAACTTATTCTGATAACACTCCGATAATTTAAACTAACATCTTACTTCATTAAGAGCACTAATAGTTACTGAAATCCCAGAAGTAAAACGCAAAGGAACCATAATTCTCCATGCTGTTCTCACCAAAGATCTAACTCAACAAATAGCATTGTGAAACACAATGTGGAAAAGCACACAATGACAGTTAATTTTCATTTTAGCTCAGGCCCATGATCTACTTTTTACAAGCAGTGATTTTGTCTGTGATAAAAAGCATGTCTTAGGCAAGATCCGATTTTTCAAGAATGGATATTCAGCACTTCATAAACACATGCCCGTGTTTCCTAAGAAACTCTGCAATAGTTGTTTACACAGAACCCCCCGAACCATACCCATTTATGTGATCGGTTGGCAATACTGTAATACATAAAAACGCAACACATACAACCTGCTGAGCTTACTTCTCCACACTCTCCACAAAGAAAACATTCCACAAGTGCAATACGTGGGTTGTTCATTTACCACCAAATAATACTCTGTACAGCTAACAGGAATTTATGTGAGAGCCTGCACAGAGGTGAGGCTCTATTTTACCGGTTAGCAAAGCAGACTACCTAGACACTTTTACACTACCCAGAAAAGCTTTGGTGAATGAGGCTTTAAATTCTAAGTGGGAATTTTCCCCCACGTGGATTTGTTTTGTCAGATGAATCAAAATTCTTACAAATTTTCTCTTCTCTTGTTCTTTTCACCCCAATTTGATTTAGGTATGTTACTGAAAAATTAAAGAGAACTGAGATCACGTGTAGACAGAGACGTCCCAGCCAGGATAGCACCTGAGGATATGGTATGTTGATGTGGCACAGCCTGTGACTTACTTTCTGTTCCAAAGTAAATCCCTCAAACATTTTTTATTTTCTATTGATACATCAACAATGCTTATAAACACGTCATATGTACTACTTTTGTCAGAATTAATTCAATACTGCAAGGAAATTAAATTACATGAAACTGCGAAGAATGAGGATAAAAAGAAAAATGGATGAGAGCCTTTTCTGACAGAAAAAAAAAAAAAAGAATTATAAACGCTGCCATGGAATGGGGCTCCTTACCTGTAATGTGCTAACATTAAAGAGGTTTATAGCACTGCAGATTGTTGTTCCCTTGGAAACAAATAAATTCAAAAAACACTACAAAGATTTAACATCCATATTAAAAATGAAATATTCCTAAAATATTTTCATTTTAATCTCTCAGGGTCCAGTCCTGCAAGTCCCTTTCATGTATCACTTTCAATCAAATCATTTGATAAAAGACAGTCTGATGGGGTCTTTATCAAAAGTCTGACAGTGGAGTAGAAAATAATATTAACAACTTTTCTTTGTCTTGTATTCTGACTTGAATATTAGAGTCTTTAAATCATGTCATGTTGAGCTTTCATTGCCTTCAGCAATGTAGTATCACACTTGGAATTTTATTAGTTCACAAGGGTCTGATTACGCAAATGTATGAAAACTAATCACTAGGAGAATAAAACCTCCGCTACAAGCAAAGAGGCCAGTGACAAAATAGACACTTTGATACCGCGGCACAAAAGGATCCAAAGTTTGAACCCTTCATGGCCAGAGGTGTCAGTTCATTGTAGTAAAAAAGGTAAAAATTACTTGCAGAACATGAGTCTTGAATGCCCCAAAGGTTTTGAAATACTCACCCTGCTGTAAATCAGAAGTGAGTGTAGTAGTTAGTGATGTTACACTGGGTGGGCAGAAGTCAGGCCAAGAATGCCCGAAAGGAGGTGTCTGCAGGACAGAATGCCTTACACTAGACCATGCAGCTCTTTATCGATTCCCGTTTTAAAGACTCTGGCTAAAACATTCAATTATGAACAACCAAATGCCCCGCTAAGCTGCACTTCTCTTGTGACTTAACTCAGTTACAAAAAACACCAAAATGAACCCACAGAAATTTTAAGGCAAGACAGTACTCCTGTGGAGGATCCTCCCGACGGAACACCCCAACCAATGGAGATCCCTGACACACAATGAAGAAGTGTCATTCAGCGCAATCCACTCTTGTTGTCTACTTCTACTGCCTGGGGGAACGTGCCGGTGAATTACCCGCAAGAGTCCTATTCTCCTGTCTGTTTCCAAACTATGCACCCCTGGTCACGTGTCCCGGCTATCGCAGGGTTGCAGGTAGGGTCTGACGCGCCACTTCTAAAAGATTCGGCAGTGTCACTACGTGGGAAGTATTGCAGAGCATTCAAATCAGTCAGGGCAAATCTTATGTTGGTTGTGTTCGCGCTTTAATACGTACAGACGAATAAAAATCCAGTATCTGGTCAAAAAGGTTTGCATGTTTGAACATGTAGCTGCGAGGATTAAACATACCTTTCTACACTCTTAACAGTTACGTACACTTGTATTATCAGCTCCTAGTTTTATATACATGTTTTTACATGTTACAAAATAACTGTTACGCTTCCTATTTATAGATTTTCCCGTTGCCTCCATCCTCTCAGCCACCTCTGATGAAGGTTGTGGGGGAAAAAATTAAATTAGATCAGTGCTCTTCAAGAACACAACCTGCACTTTCAGGACTCATACCACATAAGAGGGGACACATCCCAGACAGTCCCTATCTTTTCATATGATAAAGAAAATATACTTTAAACTATAAGAGCTTTTGAGCAGGAGTACTAATGTGGCTTTTCCAACACTCATTGTTTGTCAAATACAGCTATCTCCGTGCCCACATGATGAGTTACCACCTCTCTTTAATGTATATATTTGTACTACCTTATTCATTCACTTCAGGTACTATGGTCAGAGACTCAAAATGGGCCCTCAAAAATATGACTATACTAATTTATTGTTTGAGGAATCTAGGTATCAGCTTATCACATCAGTTCTGACCCTCATGGGTCTTGATGTTATAGATTAAACTAAGAAAACCCCAAACATCAGAATCCAAAATGATACCGAGCACTTACAAGAACAGAAAATTAACTCTATATAGTATTTATGTTATTTTGAAAACTCTTACTTGTGACTAAATCATAAAGTATGTAGAGTTACGGAATTCTAGTGCCGTAAAGTTACAATAGCATTTGACACTTCCTGGAGTGGAATCAAAGACATTAAAAATTCCTTCTCAGTGGAATCAAAGACATTAAAAATTGTCATTCTGTCTACACTGTATTTATTATAGCAAGCGATACAGTCGAGGGAAAAAGAGCTAAAGCTTTCT